GGTGGTCTTGCCTTTCTCTTCAGGGACCCCTGGCTGCCTGGGGCAGGGGGTGTTGAGACATCTGGGAAAGTCAGTTACCCTACAACTTGCAATCAAATCAGCATCAAATTATGAGTTACTCATTATTTTCTCCTTCAGAAAGCCCTCAAATTTCCTGGGTAATTCCTGTGGTTTCTTCATCACACCATTTCTGAATCAAAATCATTTTTCTTTACCCTTCCCTGTGGGAAAAGTCCCCAGAAACAATGAACGCTCCATCCCTGTGCTTTACAGATCTTCTGTTGTCTGACAGGGCTCACTAACAGAACCTTTTGGAAGTCCTGCCTTCATGTGGGATTTTCAGCTTTCCTTTTTGGAATTTGGAAGGAAAAAAAAAAGACAGTCTTCCTGGCTATGCAGCACAGGTTAAAACTGTGACACCTTAGAGACTTAAGCTATAAAGGCAAATATAAATACACACACCTATGGGTTTGGAATCTTTTCTGAATGCCCAGAACGGCAATAGTAAAAGGGAGTGAAATCACTGACAACATTTTTTTTCACAGTGAATCTTGCTTTGTACAGCCTGGTTCTGAAGATCACACGTAGGAAAATGATCCAGACAGTTCCCTTTGGATGCCTCTGCAGCAGCTGGGGACCTCTGAAAGGCTCTTGTGCTGCTGATCTCTCCCTCTCTGCATCCTGGAGCCCAACCCACGCTCCGGGATCCTCTCGATTCCGTCAGCTTCCAAACAGGGCTGTTCTCCCACAGAATCCAGGCTGACTCATGGCTCCCCAGCAGGGCTGGAATGCTGCAAACCCTTTCACCTGAGCTGTGATCCTAAAGCCATCCATCCCAAACCCGTGGGCATCCTCGGGTCATTCAGCTCCTTCAGCTCCCCAGCAGGGATTCCTGCAGCCCTGGAAGCTCTCCCCTCCCCTCCTGCTGTTTTCCCCTTCACTTTCTCTACAGCTCCTGATTTTCACCCTCTGATTGGCAATTTCCCGTGCTGTCCAGCAAGCAGGGAAATTCACTGTGATCTCTGACTGTCGAGTTCCCATGGAAACGCGCTCGAGCCCCGTCAGGCAGCAGGAGGGACCAGCACAGAGCACGCTGCTGCTGAAGGGACCACGGGGACAAGGCTGTGACCAAGAGCCAGCACACAAGCACTGGACACAGCTCCTACAAAGCCACTGAATTCAGGTCATCTGGCCAACAGCAGGCAGCAGCAGGGAGAGAGGGAAGTGCGGTCCTGGCTGTGGATGGGATGCAGGAAATCTTGGGAAGCAGAGAGAGATTCCTTGTCCCCACGGCTTGGGCTACCTGCCGTGCCCCATCACTGCAGCCCAGTGCTCCAACGAGCACACAAACTCCTCTGCCCCTCTGCTCCTCGCAGTCCAGGCTCCCAGCAGAGAGCAGGGAAAAGCTGCCCATGTCTGGCCCAGAATCACAGGTCCCACTCTGAACTAATGCAGGCAGCAACTTCTTCAGAGTGAATTTCTTCTGAAGGGTGCAGGAACACTGAGCATCCAGATATCCCCACACAGCCCCTGCAGGGCTTGACCAAAACTGCCCCTTTGGCAGAAAAATGAGCATCTCTCAGACCAAGAGACAAATTCTGATGCTCTAACTTCATGTTCTTAATTCAGGGTGCTTCACTTGAGGAATGTCAGTCCCTGGTGAGTATAAAAGAGGTTCTCTTCAAGGATAATTCAGAGCAGTGATGTATGCAGCTACTTCCTTGATAAATTCCTAATCCATACACTTCTGCCCCGCCCCAAATCTTTCTTTCACCTCCTGTCAGTGTGGGGCTACTGCTATAGGGATATTGCTCTTCCCATATCTGCAAAGTTGTTCAGCCAGTTCTCTCACAAGTGGAGCATCACGCCAGAAACATTTCAGAGGAGTAGCCTGTCTCAGACAAACACAGGGTGCTGTCTTGATGCTGCTCCTGCCTCAGGAAAAAATCCAGTTTGTCATGGATCCTGTGGGAGCTGCTTGTTCTTGTGCTCTGCAAGGAGCCTGGAGGGAGATGCACAGGCTGCAGGAGACAGGTGTTCAGACTCCAGAGATTTCTGTTCTTGTCCATGGGAAGCAGAGTTGATGTTCTGACATTTGCAACCATTAGGGAATGTGGCACTATTCATAAATTTAAGAGATTTCAGAGTCCAGTGCCTTGGCCAAAAGCTTGTTTCCAAATCAGCACCCTGGTTTTTAACGGGCTGACTGGTTCCAGCTCGATTTGACAGAGACAACAAAGATGTCACATCCTAACATCTAATATCAGGTGGGTGTGTATAGAAGAGCCTCCAGTAGTGCCCCACCAGCTAAAGAGAGATGCAGAGATGGCCTCAGCCCTGATTAGACACCAGAGACTTGAGCTGCACTCACCAGACACACAAACTTTTTTATTTTTTAACTCAATGTGGTAGGGGAAGGACTGAGCACCTAATGGTTGAATCCAGAGGCAAAGTGAGGTGTCAGTGAGAAACCAGCCCTCCCCACACCACCCACTGCAGGCATCCCTAAAGGATCTCTCATCCATTCATAACATCATTTTCAACAGTGAGAGTGAAACACCCTGAAGATTCTGGTCTATTTTTATTGTCTATAGCACAGGTAAGGACCTTAAATTCAACCCTAAACCAAGGGGCTGAAGTAAAATGCCCAGACTTCCGTAAAACTTAGGTGTACTACCCCTCAAGTAAATAACCAAAAGTCACCTATCTCACTTTTTTTTAAAAAAGGAGTATCACACAACCATAAATACACACATCCATATAAAATACTATAAAATATATCTCATGTTCTTGACAGTGCAATAACTGACAGTCACTACAAACTGTTTGGAAATGTAAAACAAAAGCCTTCCAAATCTAAATAAAGCATGCAGGACATGCTTTCCCACAGCAGATGTGGTTGTCCCACAGCACAAACAGCAGCACACAAACCCTCCCCTGCCCTCTACTAAACTGTTTTCAGGGGCAGCACCAACAGCACAGGGCATGGAGAGGCAGATGTAGGAATGGAGAGAAAGGAAAAGAAACAGATCAGTAAAGCAAGAAAAAGAAGTGAGTTAATGGATTTGGAAAGGGCTGAAGTTGCAAACCTTCTCCACCTGGAGGAGGCATTTGAGCTGCTGAGAACTCCCCATTAAATTAGCAGATTCTCTTGTTCCCAACCTTCCAGCTCTGAACTTCTCAGTATATGCTGCTCTGGCCAAGCTGGTCCCCTGCAGGCTGACAGCACCTTCATCTCAGGATCCTTTCCCTTCAGACATTATTTCCCCATCATGTGATCTTTTCTGCAACAGCATTTTGGCCTTGACAGCATGCTGGGGGCTGCTGCAGGACTGAGAGTGGCAGGGCTGAGACAGCTCAGCAGTGATGGGGAGACAGTGGAGGGAGCTGCAGACAGGAGAATCAGCTGCAGACCAGTGAGCTGAACACGCTAAAAAGCCAATGCTGCTGCAGGGATCTGGCTCTTATTGGGCTGATCAGGTGTAGGAATGATGGAACCTCTTCCTAAAGGCTTCAGGAGCCCCAGTGCCACACGGGTCTGCTTCAGTAATGTCCTGGGGCAGACACTGGCAGGCTGATGGGACCCTCAAATAGCTGGGAAAGAGAGAGGAGAGGGCAGGCACATCATCACCCTTAGGACCTGCTGTGCTGTCAGCTGCCTGCTGTGTCCAGCTGTGTCCCTACACTGCCCTCCTGCCCCCACATCTCTGCCACACACAGACTCCTCATGCAGAGGCAGGCAGAGTCAGGACCCTGTGTCTCATTTCCTGGCTCCCCTCACAAGCACAGGGCCACCAAAGGAGGAACAAGGAGAGATGACAACTACCTCCACGGCTCTCGCTGTCCGCAGGTTTCACCTGGATCGGGCGCGCCATCTGCAAGGGAAGAGAAATGCAGAGGTTATTGCTTGGCCCACTTCCCAGCACACGCTGCTAAAGCACTGTCAACAGGGCAGCAGGAGAGAGGCAGAAGGGAAACCAAGACATTGTGATGGAAACCAGTACCCTTGAAGAAGGCATAGTTTTTTCCAAAAGGAGCCTGGCGCTTTTCCCTGCTCAGCTGCTCGCCCCAGAGAGCAGCTCTCCTGGAAATGCCCACCATGCATAAACCTCTGCCTCCTCAGCTGCTGCAAGTGGCACAGAAAGGACTCTGAGGAAGCAGCTCATCACCATGTGACTGGAGCCTGAACACTGGTCAGGGTGGCCTGAGGTGAGACCGTGCCTGGAAGCTCTTCCTGTGTCTGCCCTGACTCAGTGCAGGCATGGCCACGTCACCTAATTGAGCCACTAACTGTCCTTGCAGCAGGGAAGAGACACTGCTCTGAACTTGGCTAGAAGCAGCACAGCAAGCAGGCCTGTCGTTTCCCCTTCCCCAGCCCTCATGCAGACAGCTCTGTGCACCAGAACAGCTCTTGAGAAGGGCAGTGCTGTTCTCCAGCAACATCTCTCATCTCTGGCCCTCAGGGGCAATGCTCAGGTTGAAAGTGGCAAAATTCCTCTTGCTTGGGTGTGGAGAAGAGGGTTTTCCTTCTCTTGCAGCCACTATTGTCATCAGCAATAATCCAACCACAATCAAGCCTGAAGGGTAGCCTAGCTCCCATGGTACAGGGACTCTCCAGGTAAGGTAGAAGTAGCTGCATTAAGGAACCCACAGCTTTAACTGCCTGGTTTGCAAAGTGGGGCAAAACTCATCTGCTGGCAGGTCTGTGTCCTGTGCTGCCCAGAGAGGCAGCTGACAAGCTGTAGCCTCCTTTCCCAGATAGCAGGATCCAACTGCACCAGAATATCCTCCAAGGAATGGTGCACAGGGCAGATTTCCACATTCACAACACATCTCACTCCATGTCTCTCAGCATCGTTCACAGAGGCTGACAGTGACCTGAATCAGTGACATTCATAATAAAAAACCATCAGAATATTGCAGTGAAGGCCTGCACATGAGCTGCAGATCCAGGCACAGTCTGCCCCCTCTCTTAGGAAACCCCTGAGGAAAAACAGCAACAAAACAGAAAATGAAATCAAGCCACAGAAGTCATCAGCTGAAATGTGTTTAGAAGCCAGCATGCAATATATGTGGAGGGCTGTCAGTCTCCAAGTGGTGGCTAAGCCAAACTGCCCAGAAACCAGAGGCAGAGACCACATTCCCAACAGCTGGAGAAAATTCATGAGGCGGCTTTGCAGCTCACAGGATAGAGATGCCAAGCAGGAGGTGACAGGCTGGCATGGCATGGCACACAGCCTGGCAGCTGGGGGCTGTGAAGCTGGCTTCCCCTGACTGATGGCTCTCAGGCAGGACGAGCAGAGGCTGGGAGCAGGCCCACGCAATTCCTGCCTCAAGGATTGATCATGGAGCTGCTGATAATGGCCCCAGGGATGGGCTGGCAGCTCCCCAAAGGAAGGCCAAGCTGCTGCCGTGCTGCACCTTGACAGACAACAACCCCAAGACCTGCTGAATCATTTAGGGAAGAGGGAGAGGCTGCAGGTCCTTTTCCCATTCTTGATCAGCTGCAGGGATTTGCAGAGCTCTCGATATCCTGCTGCTGCTGCCATATGGCCCCAGCACTTGCAGCACTGGAACTCGCCAGCCTCCAGGCTGCTGCTCCCCCCAGGAGCCACCAAGGGCCCAGCACCTCTTTCCTGAGCTGAGTGGGATGTGGGGCAGGGATTCAGGACTCTGAGGTCAGCGATTGTTCCACAAAGCCTCCAATTTCCTTGCTGAGAGGCTGCTGTCAGTGCTCACGGTCCCTGGCACCCTGCCTGTATGAGCTGAGGCTGGCAGAGCTGTGGGAGCAGGCTGAGTGGGAGAGGGCAGGCAGCCCAGATGTGTGCTCAGAAGAGGGCTCCGTGCAGAGCCAGGAGAGGCAGCTGGCCACGTCACATCCCACTGCTCCCCCAGCACCGAGGAATAGTTTTGTTTCTACCCAGGATGCAAAACCAGGGCTAAACTAATTGAACTGATGGTGGAGGGAGGCAGAGGGACAGACTCGGATCTCAGCTTCTGTGAGGAAGCCAAAGCCCTAAAGCCATGTGGGGGTAGGAGGGGCAACAGGGATGCTGTGGAAATGCAGCGCACACACATCCAGCACCACCCTCCCAGGGATGCAGGGGCTGAGGGAAGGATGGGGGAGATGAGGGGGAGGTTAAGTACCTGAGGCCATCTCCCTGTCCCCTCCCCCAACAGGGCTGTCACTCCAGCTCCCAGCACCTAGGATAAAGGAGGTGTTGTCATGGAAACGGTTATTCACCACATGGAACCTGACATTTGCAGTTGCCATGGAAACCAGCTCTTGGGGGCATTCCCTCTGCTTTGCACAAAAGAGACATTTTGATATGATCTCTGGGGAAGGGGCCCCCTCTACCCATCTGTCCATCCCTATCCTTTCCCCCATCCCAGGGACGTGACCCCAGGGGTGGTGACCGAAGCTGCCCTGGGCAAGCGCATCCCAAGGGCCACTGACCCAGTGAGGTGAGGTGGCCACAGCACGCTGTCCTGGCAGGAGAGGCGGCACTGCCAGTGCAGCAATGTGGGTCAGCACTGGTGCAAACGCAGAGGCAGCTCCTGGCTGGGGCTACAAGAAGAAGCAGGGCTGCCCTGCAGCCCCCAGCTACAGCCACAGCTCCTCTCTTGCCCACCTGAAACAGCACCGGGGGTGGGCACAGGAAGACTTTCCCTCTGCCCGTGTCAGACCAAGCCCTGGGTCAAGGGCTGGCAATTCCAGAGGCCTTGCCAGCTCCAGTGACTTTGAGAGACACCCACCAACCTGAGGTCGGGTCTCTGGGCTGGTCTTCGTCTGTTCTGGAAGATGGGTAAAGAGAAGAAAACAAGATACAAGAAATTTGTCCAGATGCTGAAGCTTGGAGAAGAGCAGCAGGATTGTCTGCCAGTTTCTTCTTGAAACAGGTCTCCCAGCTGAGGCAGCCACGGTTTTCCTTGCACTGAAGTGGACACCCAGAGGCTTCCATGAAGTAGGACACCACCACCACTTTAGTCCTAAATCTCATGTTGCCACCAAAATTAACGAATTATCAAAGGCCTATCAAGCAGAGGGAGTCCACAGCAGCTTTAATTCAATCACAGTCTTGAGAACTGTCCCTGTGAGATCCTAAACTTTGTTCACAGGTCTCAAAGAGCTCTGTCCCCTACAGGAACACACAGTAGGGGGAGGTCAAGTTTCACCTCAGCCATTTGAGGGAGAAAGAGAGGAACAGGGCAGCAGAGAGGATGCACTTCTGGCTTACATAGTAAACTCTGGAAGTACAAATTCTCCTGGCCTCCAGTCATCACCTGAGGCTGCACACCTGAATAAGAAAACTGTATTTATATATGTATATATACCCAGCTGGGCCCAGAATCCAGCAGTCAGGATGTGCCTGCCTTAAACTTCCAGAGTGGAGAAGATGCACATGCACAGATATGGATGCCTTTTACCACACAGGAACACATAGGTGAGCACATGTACAGGATCAAGAATTTGAGCAAATGATTCATGAGCCTGCACCTGCCTCACAAGCTGAGCTTCATCTTCCCTGTTAAATTATTCAGCTGAGCATTATTAGTCTTCATTTCTTAAGAATATCACATTAACATTTAGCACATGCTGTCAGAACACCATGGGCCAAATGTGTCCTGCCCCAGTCCCTCACACTCCAGGGTCCTCCTTACCCACTGCTGGTGACACTGTAAGGGCTGTCAGCTCCATGACCCACTGCACTCAGGAAATCCTCCGGAGCAGCAGTGGGCACCAGATGGGCAGCAAAGCTCCTACTGCCCTGCTCCAGCTTCTCGCTCCCATTTCCCTCCTGGCTGGATACACAGCTTCCCAAACACAGCTGTCCCTCCCCTGCTCACAGCTCTCACAGACAATGTTTCTCTACCTGCACCACTCTCCCTCTCAGGAGCCTGCAGCCCTCGTTGGCTTTTTGAGGGGTTCCTGGTGGGAAGCTACAGGGCAGCCAGATGGGGCTGAGGCTATCCTGACCTCAGGAGTGTTGCACAGCAGCCACATCCTGTGCAGCCTTCTGAGAACAGCAAGGAGACACCCACAGGGATGGTCACTGCAGCCCCGAGGAGCCCAGGGACTTCAGGGAAGAGGCAAACTGAGAGGACTTGCTGAAAGTGTCTGGATTACATCCCACCCCAATCCCAGGATCTGGGCAGCACAGAGAAGCAGGGAACCCTGCTCTGCTTGGGCTTCCCCACTGCTTTGAGGAAATGTTCCCCACCTTTGTAGCACTCTTGAGGTCAAGGCTCTTAGGAAACATCCTGACACTCCTGAAGTCAGAGGAAGCTTCGCTATTGGTTTCACCAAGGCCAAAATGCACCACTTCTCTCAATAAACCCCAGATAAAGACTTCTGGAGGTGAACTGGCTCCCCGTGTTTAATCAGTGCCCAGCATGAGCTGTCAGTCAGCTCAGCAATCTGGGAGCCCTGTTCTTCAAGGAGAAGACTCCCAGATCCCCCTTCTTCAGCTTTCAAACTGCAAGAGCTGGATAGAGGGAAAAAGCCCCCTGGGACAGCAGGGCAAGCCTCTCTATTAATTACAAGTAAGTGATGTAAAATAGCCCCTTAGGTGCAATGCAGGGGAACCTCACAGTGTTAAGAAGGTCAGAAGCACAGTGTATGAAACACAATGCAGGCTGGCTCCTCTGGGATGTCAGGAACCAAAAGGCATCCAAGGCCATTGGCAGAATTAGGTCCTGGGCTCTTCACTTTACAAATTGTGGGCTTGTCCTCCTCTGGCCAGTTAAAAATGCCCTGCCTGAATGATCGTAATCACTTCTAACTGGGCAGAGCACATAAATCTAAATGCTAATTTGTTAATTTGGATTCCATTTCTGATTGGGAATCCAAGCAGGGATGGATCAGTGCCAGTCT